CACTGGCCAGTTTGTGTTTGTTTTGTTTTATCGTGTCTTGGGCGTGTGTGTGGGGGGGGGGGGCGGGGGGAGGGGATGTATTTGAACTATTCGGGTGATAGCGATCCTTCTCTCCTAAGAGTGCTTTGAGTGTGGCACCGACTTATGGCGGTACAATGGTTTTTATATATATTCCGGTGCCTATCAATATTTTTATAGCTGGCCTCCTAGTTTCGCCACCTTATAGTACATCTTTGAGGAAGCGCTTTCTGTAGTTCCGACAACTCTTAAAGACGCGTTGTTTTAAAGTCTGACATCTTTTAGATTTTTAGATTGTTTTAGTAAGGTTTTACGGCGCTCGCAACCGCATTGGGTCATATGAGGGTAAAGGGGTGGATTTCAACAGAGAAGTTCAAACGGTGTCTTCTTTATTCATATCGATTGTTCAATTTCTTTTTTACTTTATTTGTTTTTATTTATTAAAGATGAAAAGTCAAGCCACAACATGCATTATATTATTTGTCATTTGTTTGATTTGTGAATGATGGTTCGAAATTTGCTTTTTGGCCGGTTGCTGATCGGACATAATATCACCGGTGAAAGTCGCAAACCGTGTAAGTCCGCTACGTTCTTAAAGAGTTGGAAAGACAACCATGTTCGTGCTGCCCACCTACATGTACATGATGTATATGTATTTCCAAACACGACATTGTAGAACTCCTGATCTGTCACTACCCGGGCGATCGCCACCAACCACCAACAGTTACAAGATCGATCAATTTGACTAGCACGTTTTTTAATTTTTTTGGGGGGTTTTTTTTTTGGTGGGGGGGGGGGGGTTCTGGAAAGTGTTTTACAGCGCTCGCAACCTCATAGGATCATATGAGCTCGCAGGACTCACCAAACATTTTCAATTGATAGCAAATTATGAATTTTGCCCGGGTGGCGGCCGAAACCTACTCTTCTCGATTTTAGATCACTAAGAGACCTTTAACGTGAGCAACTTGCTCACGGGCCCTTCGAGATTTTTCGCCCTTGTCCGAGAAGGCTAGGTGTAGATCTTTCCTGCCAGAAGATCAGAGGTGTGGCTGAAAGACAGCAGTAAGAAGAAGCCAAGGACTAGCAGTAAAAAGGCTGCAGAAAGAGTCAGGAGCCCAGAGGAGGGGACGAAGGATGTGAGGGGGTGGGGGCAGAAAGAGGAGACGAAAGCAGACGACAGAACATTGCTAGAGAGCAGGAAAGCAGGTAAAAGGAGACAATTTTAGAGAAGAAAAAGTTTCGGTCACTACCCGGATTCGAACCCGGGACCTTTTTAAAAGAGAGGCCAACACCTTAATGTCTAGGCCACGAGAGCCCCTCTAGCACATTTATAGGCTCTCCGCCGTTGAACGCAAAATCTGTCAGTTCCATTCCTATGCTCTTGTCTTTTTGCTGGGATGATGTGTCTCACTCAGATCAGATCCCGCCCCCTGATGTTGGAAGTTGTGAAGATGGAGACGTGAAACGTGCACAATCAATCTTGGAGTGCATTGTTTTGAGACTCTTAATCTTGGAGTGCATTGTTTTGAGACTCTTTGATAGACGTTACTTCTCTTACCGGTGTTTTTTCCGGGTGATTGGAGGGTGCTCATCTACCGTTCTGATCTGCCCTCCTCCTTTTTTTTGCGTTTGTTATTCTCTTGTAACACCTCTAATCTTCAAAATTAATATGACCTTATTGTGTTGCAAATGCCGTAAAACACTTACTAAAAATTATAAGAGGCAATCTTTTTGTGTTTGTTATTCTCTTGTAACACCTCTAATCTTCAGAATTAATATGACCTTATTGTGTTGCAAATGCAGTAAAACGCTTACTTAAAATTACCCTCACAATGGATATTCTGACGTCTGTGGTGTAGCAATAAGGCGCTTCCCATCTGCACGTTGATGAGTTCGACTCTCACTTGCAGGTGCTCTGGTATGGTTAATTTCTTCCTTACCTTTTTTTTTTTTTCTTCCGCTTGTACCCTGGGGTGTCGCGGGGAGACACAGGTGTCTGTCTGCAGCAAGTCGTGTGGCCTGTAGGAGGGACATTCCATGATCTTTAAGGGTGTCTGCCACAGATTCACTCCATCGTCGCCTTGGTCTTCCTCTGGCTCTCCATCCAGAATATCCTTATGTTTTCTTGAGCAATGTTTATAAATATCCACTGCCGGCCTGCTAAGCCAGTCGCAGTTTCACCAGAGCCCCGTTGGCCAGCAACGTTTCGGGGTGACCCGGGTCGGCCTTCACGGCTAGCGTAACGCCTCAGTGACATAAAGTCACACCGTACTTCACCCAGACCCAGCTATCCCCTACTTTGTCCTGTTTCCATCTCCCACGGCGTGGACGAGGGGTTGGACTTCGAGAGACCTATCAAACATAATATATTGCCTTTATCTCTCATCTTTCTTTTTATGTTTGTTGCTCCCACATGGCACCCCTAATTTTTTGCTCTTTAATGGCCTAATTGTGTTGCAAGTGTCGTAAAACTTTTAATTAATTTTGATTGTCGTACTGTATGCTCATTTCTCAAACCCCACCTTCTTGTACTTGTACGAGGATGATGGTGATGATAATGTATGACCTTGCACGAGACAAGAATCGTTCGTTTTGCCTTCACCAAAATCAATCAAATCACGATATCACTCCCTATACCCCCCTCTCCCTC